CTTCATGAGGTCAGCTTCGATGGAGGGCAAGGAAACTCCCTCGCCCAGGCCTCCCTGACCCATAGTGGGTAGGGCCATCCCATGGGGCTGATGAAAAACTGACGCAAAGTACCCATTTAGCAAGTTTGCTTTTTCTTGGGTGTCAGTTGTTATTATATGGTTAGTAACTGTAGAAGCACTAAAACATTGTTTTGCTTCTGCCTCTTGGTTCTGCAACTCTTAAGACAGATTTCCTACCGAGAATTAAAAGGGAAATGCGTATTTTGGGAGAACAAATAATAAATAAATACATGCTGCCCAGCCCAACAGTTTGGAAGTGTGCGTGCGTGTGTGTGCATATATGTATATGCTCACAATGTGTATAATATGAAAAATATCTTTATGTATTTTTAGAAATAGTTTGTTTCTGTTTGCTCAGAAATATTGATTGTCATAGGGAGCTTTTTGAATTTGTTCTGCATGTAATGCTTATTTTTAGATGTGGAATGTTAGCAGCTCTAAGAAAGAAGAATTTTGAATACTGTATAGGTTTCTTAAAGGTATTTTTTTGTGTTCTCTGTTGAAACCAGTAGTGTTTCATATAGTGTGGCTCCTACAGTTGTCCTTCTAGGAACTGCTTGTAAAGGTAAGTATATAGAAGCTGTATGGCCAACATCTTTCCTGTCTACATGCTGAAGACTAATGCCTCTTTGATATATTGGAAGCAAGAGGAGTTGGAAGCAAGAGGATGACAGTTACCTATGTGTACCCATATTTGAACACCCTTATTAAGTAAATTACTGTTTGTTTACTTATCTTGAAGCAAAGTCTCAGTTCTCATTCAGATGGAATCTAATGAAACAAAAATCCATATTTGAGTTGGAGTGATGTTGTAGCTGTGATGGTCCAGGAAATATGTGAGAGGTAAGGATTTTTGTGGGTGGTAACTTTTATTGGACTGACTGCATGGTTGGGACCTCCTTCAGGTTTGTGGAGTATACAGCCTTCAAGAGCTTGTCTAAGTCTATCCCAACCATGCAGTTGGTCTGATAAAAGATACCACCCACAAAAGTCCTTCTCAATCCTGATTGGATCAGTTCATCATAGAAAAGCTAATAAAATATCTTCTAGAGCAAATAGCTTATTTTCATCCTTTTACTTGATTTAAAGTATTAATTCTGTATTTAATTTATTATCCTATTGTAGCAAGACAAGCAATGGAACAGGGAAGATCTCCAATTATAATAGACAATACTAATACTCAAGCCTGGGAAATGAAGCCGTATGTAGAAATGGTAAATATAAATATCCTAAATTATTTTTTTTCTTATAATGATTTCCTTTGCAGTCTTACCTTCTGAAATGATAAATGTGACTACTTTGTCTAGATAGGTTTTTCTTATTAACACTCCTTTGGACTGGCAACTTTTTGGCGTAGTCATTAACAGGGGTGGTAATAGTTCAGTTGGGATCATAAGATTGCATATGTTTAGGCCAGGATGAATTGTAGGCTTGCTTTGTGGGGCGTGAACTACATTTCAGCATGCTAGCACTACATTATACTTACTAATAACTAAGCTTTTATTATTATTATTTTTCTATGCATTTTTCTGTATTGTTTTTCAGTGCAGGGTTTGGTAAAGTTACACTTTTCATGCATGTTTCTTTGCTTGTTGTAGGCTCTAGAAAAAGGCTACATAGTAGAATTCCGTGAGCCAGATACATGGTGGAAGTTTGACCCTGAGGAATTAGAAAAGTAAGATGCATGTTATAATAGCTATCATAGTTACTTTCTTTACTTTTTATTAAAAATTAGTTAAATATTGTTTCAAGATCTCCTCGGCCCATAAATGTAATATGTGTAATGCTAATAAGTACTTTTATTTACATTTATTTAAACATATTGTTAATTTAACCATTGACACATGAATAAATAGAATTGTTACCATCCAGTTGCAACTGAGGTCAGTAGTGAAATTTCCATGGACATAGGTAGAAAACTGATTGGATTCATAGGAGCTGCTTTATGCAATGGATAATTAAGTTAACCTGTGGAAGTCCAAACATTGTGGAAGCTATAAGCTTAAAAGGTACAAAAAAGATGATGTTATATAGACGACAACATCAAAAGTTAAAACAGACAGTACAAAACACTGTCAATGCCTCATGCATAAAGATATAATTTTATTGCTAATCAGTAGGAGGTTAGAAAGAAAATTCCTGTATGCAGTGGCTGTTTTGCAGTATGATTTTTTTAAGTTTCTCCTCCTTCCTCCCCAATCCAAAAGCATCCATTTCTGGTGGATACAAGATGCTGGGTTAGATAAACTATTGATCTGATCTGTTATGATGTCCATATCACTGCTCAATTTTCTTGTTAATTTCTGCTGTTTGTTATCCAGTTTAGCTGCTTTTGAGTCTGTGGAGTTTTGCTTATGCCAAGCAAACTTGGCAGAAGTCAGTGACAAATGGGAGGCAGGAAAGGAACAGTAGAAAAAAATAATTTCCTGACAATAAAGAATCATTCTGAAGCTGGTAACGAAGTACTTGAGTTGATCTATGCTCAGAAGGGACAGTGGCACTGTATAGTACAAAAGTAGTTTTACATTGGTGTAACTTATTGTTTTGCCCAAATCAAAATAAAACTGGATTCTAATCTATATTTAGAAGTAATCTCATAATTAGCATAGATCACCTAATTTTAATTCAACTGAATGACCAAATATGTAATTAAAATGTAGTTTAAAAGGGCAATTTAAAATAAGAGTGACCACTTTATTGTAATGCTGTAGTAAAACAAAAATATGTATATTGTTTGGTCTCTGATCAGTTCAGCTCCTACTGAACAGAGGCACTCAACACTCAAGTAACAGATCATTGGTGAAAATACAGCTCTCTCCAGAAAATGGTGACGTTCCCTCAAAGTTGATATTGAATCAAACTCCCAAATGTTAGAGACACTGAGGTGTGAGATTTACCATCTTTCCAGCTAGTAAAGTAGTTAGCATATGGAGGTATAAATTACACTTTTGTGCCAGAAATATTTGTTTTTGTAGACTGTGTAAAGATAAATGGCAGTTTGCCACCACTAGTGTCAAGTTTTGAAATCGTATGTGTGCAGGTGGCTGTTAATATATCAGTGCATCATTAGTGCCTGTGGCCTTGCCCACTCCACAGCCAGCATCCACCTGTGGGGATCACTTCTTCTACACATGTCTTTCTCAATGCAAAGGAGTTGCAGCTGCATTTATCACTGGACATTGTCCTTCTCTCTTCCAGTTTATATCAATGAAGCATTAAAACAGGAATCTTTAAATTTTCTGTGATGGGAGATGAGTTAAGGCAGGGGTGGAGATATGCAGAGTTAGAGATATTTAACAATGTAGATATATAATGACGGAGATATTCAGAGCTGGAGATATTCAGACTGGTAGATACACAGAGCTGTAGTTGTATGAAGCTGGAGATATGTACACCTGGAGATATGTAGAATGAGAGATATATAAAGCCAGAGATATTCAGAGCTGGAGATATTCAGACTGGTAGATATAGAGAGCTGTAGATATATGAAGGTG